ATATATTGTCGGTTATTTTTTTTAGAGCGGCTAAAAATATCCATTTCTCAGAAGTTAAAATCACAAAATAGTCACCTTCCTAAAACTTTGCTAAAATTCCACCTTTGAAATTTCCAACAAACAGTCACACAATTAGTCACTTTGCATCAAAACTTGGCTAAAAATCTTACATTCAAGTTTTCTAGAAATAGTCAATACAACCAATCACTTTCATGTTAGCTAAGCATTGACATCAACGTTGAGCATTTTGTTTTTAGAGCTTGTTTGGATGGGTTTGTTTTAAGTGACTTTTAAGCCAAAATAATTTTTAAGCCATAAGTTAGGAATTCTAACTTTTTGCTTTTGGCTTGTTTTTGTCATTTTAGCTTAAAAACAAGTGCTTAAAAATACTTTTTTACTTTATCCAAACACTACAAAATGGCTTAAAAGCTATTTTGGTTTAAAAACACTTAAAACAAGCCAATCCAAACGGACTCTTAGTAATACTAGAAGCTTACTCCAAATTGTCAATATACAGTATAACACAGCTTCCCATGCTATTACGTTTGTCCTCACCTCTCGCTTTTTTTCCTAATAAAACCAGCCAATTCCACTACTCCACAAAAGCCCATCTCTGATTTCTCATCCTTTTTTCACTCTATAGAAAAGAATTTTTTTACACAAATAGCCGATCATCACACAAATTTACATGGATACACAAGTAACAGAATGTGGTAACACTAGTATGAAGGTACTGATGTTTCCATGGTTAGCATATGGACATATCTCTCCATTTCTCAACGTAGCCAAGAAACTCGCGGACAAGGGATTCTTGATTTATCTCTGTTCAACACCTATCAATCTTAAATCTATAGTCAAGAAAATACCCGAAAAATACTTTGTTTCAATACAGCTTGTTGAGTATCATTTACCCGAATCTCCTGAACTTCCTCCTCATTACCATACTACCAATGGACTCCCACCCCATCTCAATCACACCCTTCAAAAGGCCTTGAAATTGTCCAAACCAAACTTCTCCAAAATCTTGAAAAATCTGAAACCTGATGTGGTAGTTTATGATATTTTACAGCAATGGGCTGAAGGCGTAGCGAATGAACAAAACATTCCTGCAGTCAAGCTCTTAACTTCTGGTGCAGCTGTGTTTTCATATTTTTTTAACTTAGTAAAGAAACCTGAGATTGAATTCCCTTTCCCAGCTATTTATCTTAGGAAAATTGAGTTAGTAAAATTGGGTGAAATGATGGCAAAATCAGCTAAAGAAAAAGAACCTGATGATGTGGGTCCTTTTACTGAAGGAAATATGCAAATTATGTTAATGAGTACCTCTAGAATTATAGAGGCAAAATACATAGATTATTTTTCTGAATTGAGCAATTGGAAAGTTATTCCAGTTGGTCCACCAGTCCAAGATTCAATGGCTAATGGCACGGATGATGTGGAGCTTTTTGATTGGCTAGGAAAAAAAGATGAGAATTCAACTGTATTTGTCTCTTTTGGAAGTGAGTATTTCTTGACAAAAGAAGATAGGGAAGAAATAGCTTTTGGATTGGAGTTTAGTAATGTTAATTTCATATGGGTTGTAAGATTTCCAAAAGGGGAAGAACAAAATCTTGAAAATGCTCTACCACACGGTTTTCTTGAAAGAATTGGAGAAAGGGGAAGAGTTTTGAACAAATGGGCCCCACAACCAAGAATTCTCAATCATCCGAATACCGGAGGATTTATAAGTCATTGTGGTTGGAATTCTGTAATGGAAAGTGTAGATTTTGGGGTTCCTATTATAGCAATGCCTATGCATCTTGATCAACCGGTGAACGCTAGGTTGATAGTAGAATTAGGAGTCGCGGTTGAGATTGTTAGAGATGATGATGGCAAGATTCATAGAGAAGAAATTGCGCAAGTTCTTGAAAATGTCATAGCTGGGAAAACAGGAGATAATTTGAGGACAAAAGTTAAAGATGTTAGCAAGAAATTGAAATGTATAAGGGGTGAAGAGATGGATGCAGTTGCTGAAGAGCTAATTCAGTTTTGTAAGAATAGTAATAAAGTGCAAATAATGTGATGCTGTAATTCAGTTTACAAAATTGTCTGTTAGGTCTGGTTATCTTCAAAATATTTTGAGGTTGAAATAATGAGAAAAAATAGGAGGCGACCTATAAATTTATCCTGTATTCACATTCTTAAAGAATAATTTTGTGTAGCTTTCGATATGAATACTTTTTCTTGTTCAAATCTGTCGAGAAAATAGTTTTTCTACCTCCACAAGGTAAGGATAAGGTCTGCATATATATTACCCTTCTCAGATCCCACGCTTTGGGAAAATACCGAATATGTTGTTATTGTTTTCGATATGAATTCTCAATTCCTTAATCAATCGCATGCATCTATAGAGCGAAAATAGGCTAATCCGTGTAATATTCTCTCAGTTTACTTTTACTTGGCATGTATACTAAAAATATATTTTCATTTTTACTTGTCACTTTATGCATATCAAGAGAAGACAATTTTTTTTCCTGTTATACCCACAGAATTTATTACTCATTTCAAATCATTTTCTCAAATCCAATAAAATATGCATCAATTAATATGGGTATCATGGTAAATTACACACTTCATTTATTATTTCTTAAGGGGCATGAAAAATAAAACGTGCTAAGCAAAAGTAAACGGAGGGGGTATATGTCTTGAATATTATTGTAGTATCTTGGAAAAACTGAATTACTGTCGTAATATTTTGAATAAGCCAGCTATAGTGGATCCAGCTCTCAACATAGCTATACTCAAAGGCAGATACAACATTTAAACTCGATGGGTTCAAGTTTTTAAGGTTTTTAGAATTGAACCCATTATATTTTTAAAGTTGTAGGTTCATATCGACTATTGTTGTACTTTTAATGAATTTTTCTACATAAATTTTTACTCCGAGTCGAGAGTTATGAGTTCAGTTGAACCCATAACTAGCACACTATATCCACCCTTGGCTATACTTCAAACAAATAGTCGCGCAAAGAGGCGGAGCCAAGATTTGAAGTTAATATGTTCAAGATTATAACCCTTTTAAGTTGGTGAGTTATAAATTAATAATTGTATCATATTGAATAAATTTCTTAAGAGAAATACAGAATTTGTACCTAAGGTAACCCGTACTTCGATCTCTTACTCCGCCTCTCACATGCGCAACTAATCACTCTCCATAAAACTTAGGTAAAAGTCTACATTAATGGAAAATCCTAGAACAATATAATCACACAATCAGTCATTTTGATAAGCTTGGCCTTGAAATCAACGACAACATTTCTTTTTCTCTTGTAATCTTAGTCCAAATCAGCAACATACATTGAAATCACAGGAAACTTTACATTTTTTATTTTTGTCCTCATCTCTCTTGTTTCTGATAAATCCAGCCAATGCCACCTCTGATTTCTCATCCTTCTTTCACTCTAAAGAAAAAAACATGAATATTTTCTTTAGGAAGAAGAAAGTTTTAACGAGTACAAATGTAACAGAACCTCGTAATACTAATTTGAAGGTACTGATGTTCCCCTGGTTAGCATATGGACACATCTGTCCATTTCTAAACTTAGCCAAGAAACTCGCGGACAAGGGATTCTTGATTCGCGTATGCTCTACACCTATAAGTCTTGAATCTATAGACAAAGAAATCCCAGAAAAGTATTCGGCTTCAATTAAGATTGTTGAGCTTCATTTACCAAAATTGCCTCAACTTTTAGCTCCTCATTGCCATACAACCAATGATCTTCCACCAAATCTTGATCAAATTGTTCAAAAGGCCTTGAAATTTTCCAAACCAAACTTCTCCAAAATCTTGGAAAATCTTAAACCTGATTTGGTAATTTATGATATTTTACTTCAATGGGCTGAAGTCGTCGCGAATGAGCACAACATTCCATCAATCAAGTTCATAACTTGTGGCGCGGCTATATTTTCATACTTCTTTAATTCACTAAGAAAACCAGAGGTTGAATTCCCTTTCCCAAATATTTATCCTAAGGAAAGTGAGCTAGTTAAATGGGGTGAAATAAGTGCAAAATTTGCTAAAGAGAAAGATCCTGATGATATGGATCCTTTTGCTAAAGGAAGTATGCAATATATGTTGACGAGTACCTCTAGAATTATAGAGGCCAAATATATAGATTATCTCTCTCAATTAAGCAATTGGAAGGTTATTCCAGTTGGTCTACCAATCAAAGATCCAATGACTAATGACGCCAATGACGTGGAGCTCATTCACTGGCTAGAAAAGAAAGATGAGAATTCAACTGTTTTTGTCAACTTTGGGAGTGAGTATTCATTGACAAAAGAAGATATGGAAGAGATAGCTTTTGGATTGGAGTTTAGTAATGTTAATTTCATATGGGTTGTAAGATTTTCAAAGGGGGAAGAACAAAATCTTGAAGAGGTACTACCACAAGGTTTTCTTGAAAGAATTGGAGAAAGAGGAAAAGTTTTGGACAAATGGGAACAAAAATCAAGAATTCTCAATCATACAAGTATTGGTGGATTTATAAGTTATTGTGATTGGAGTTCCGTAATAAAATGTTTAGATTTTGGGGTTCCTATAATAGCCATGCCTATACATCTTGATCAACCAATGAATGCTAGGTTGATGGTAGAGCTGGGAGTGGCGGTTGAGATTGTTAGAGATGATGATAGCAAGATTCACAGAGAAGAAATTATGCAAGTTCTTGAAAGTGTCATAGTTGGGGAAATAGGGGAAAATTTGAGGACCAAAGTTAGAGATATTAGCAGGAATTTGAAATCTATAAGAGGAGAAGAGATGGATGTAGCTGCTGAAGAGCTAATTCAACTTTGTAAGAATTATAATAAGTGCAAATAATGTAATGTTTGTTATTCCAATAACAAGTCTATAAGGTGATGAATTCTCAATTATTTCCCTTTTGCTTCCATTCTCAAAAATACGAAGGTAAAAATAGGGGCGTATCTAGTGAATAAGCTATCAGTATATTTAGACCCAATAATTTCGGGTTATGTCCTGTATATGTGTTAAAAGTCCTTTTGATAAATATAAATAATAGATTCTGAATCCAATGGATTAGATTATTGGATATGAAATAATTCTATTTCCGTAAATAGGAAATAGAAAACGAGTTTTCTTGAGATGGGTTTTCTCAAATGCTATAAGATCTCCTCGTAGTTCATCATATGAAAGTTTGTCTAGATCTTGAGATTCGAGTGTAACTACTTTTGTCTGTCATGTAGTAGGCAAACTTTTCAGGATTTCTCAAACTTGATCACCACTTGTGTAGGGTTTACAAAGGCTTTCAGATCGCTAATGATTTTGCTGAATATTGCAAACATCTCCTCTATGGATTCTCTTTCTTTCATCTGAAAGAGTTCATAATCGTGAACCAACAAATTTATCCTAGTTTCTTTCTCTTTGCTGGTTCCTTCATAGGTAACTTTAAGTTTGTCCCACATTTTCTTGGCGGTATCACAATTTAAAATTTTCTCGTTCTTTTCACCACTAATGGCATTATATAGCAAGTTTCGTGCCTTAGCATTAACTTGAACAACAACCATTTGCTCGTTTGTGTATTCATCTATATCTTTAGGATCAGTGGGTGGTTGAGTTGTTGCTGGTAGTGAATAATTTTCCTTTTTGATAACATGTCATACTTTGACATTATAGGACTTTGCATAAATTTTCATGCACACTTTCCAGTGAGAGAAGTATTGTCCATTGAAATATGATGGCCTGACTTGCGACTTCCCTTCTTGAAAGAGTGCTCCAATAGTTACTTGATTTGCCATGATCTTTTTTCACAAGTTGTTAAGTAAAAATGTGAGACCCGCTCTGATACCAATTGAAAGTGCAAGAGGGTGGGTGAATTGTAATTTTTCTTTTCTTTTACAAGGTAGTCAACTAACTTGCGTTCTAGTTGACTGGACTTTTGATATGAGTGTAAACTAAATACAGGAAAATAAACTGCAGAAAGTAAATAATACAGGATGTTTTATATTGGTTCGTGAATGAATCCTACGTCCAGTCTCCTTGAGTTGCAAGGGTGTTCTCTTTCAAGTATAAAGTTGCTTGGTATATATGGGTTGGTGTTGTTATACACCAATAGCTTCGTCACTAGATTTTTTCTTTCCTCTCTTCTTGATATAATGCCTCAACAGTGATTTTTCTCTAATCTTCTCTCCCTAGTTACACAGTAAATCTATAGCAGACTACAATGCTTGTTTGAATTAGAACAAAGAGATTGATATTGGTTCGATCAAAGTATGTCCTTCCTCTGCATCTTCTATAATATATATATATATATATATATATATATATATATATATATATATATATATATCCATTCTTCAAAGCGTTAAAGTTCCATGGCTGAAAGGCAACCCGAGGGAGTTGATTCTCAGAATCAATCAAGATGATTTCTTCCAAGAATAGAATGGAACCTCTTTTCGTTGCTTTCATGATTTTCTTTTCTTTGCAAGCCGTTGAGATTGAATATTCTTTATGATGAGTGATTGAATATTCTCTGTAGATCTTCTACACTGATTGATTTATCTTCTATATCGATTGATTGATTGCCTTCTATAAATAGCTGAATCAAATATCTATTTTCCATGAAGCTCGCAATCACAACATATTTACTCCTTGATTCTTGCTTTGGATCTTGACTCGCACATTTGACTCCTTGATTCTTGCTTTCAGATCTTCTACTAGAATCTTCTAATTCTTGTGACTTTCTTCTTTGAGATTGGTGTTCTGCAATTAGAATGAAGTTATTCTCTATCATTAAAATATATATCTAACAATCTTCTCCTTTTTGATTATGACAAAAAAACTAAATTTATTTTACTTCCATATTTATAGACTCTTCTTCTATGGCTTTAGTCGGCTCCCCCTCAACTTGTTGTCAGGTACTTTGAGTCAGCTCCCCCTCATTCAGATGCCCAGTAGTTGATTTTAGTTGACTTTGTTCAATCAGTCGACCAAACCTTACCCTGCAAGTTAGTGATACTCTATTCTCCCCCTTTGGCATCAATCAAAAAGAGGGCTAAGTAAGTTTAAGTACTAGCAGATAAAATTAGCACATAGTACGCTTAATTACAGTCATCCCCAGTGTATCCAAAAAAACATGCAAGCAAAAAAAATTATCCAGTGAGACCAAAAGAAATTGTCTAAACAACCAACATAGATCGTCGACGGAGGAAATAGGTAAGGGTATTGCAGATAGCTTCTTTGAGGCAATCGAAGCTTGCATTCATTGTGACTGAGATTCCATCGACCCGATCATGAACTTCCTTGAAAGCTTTCACTACCTTTTCTAGGGTTTTCAGCAACATGACTCTTAGCTTGGGCACGTCAGATCCTATTTTCTTTGCAAATGCATAGATATCTCCAACTGAGGTCTGGATGGCCAGGAGTAGCTCTTTTATGGCAGTCAGCTTTTCATCAAGTGCAACTATCTTTTCAAGCAACTCTTGATTGTTGACAGCAGTATCAGAAGTATCAACCTTTACCTTGCTGGAGGGAATCACTTTGGCTTCAATTTCCTGCTTCTTTGTCCAAGTACCATCTACAACAACATATCCCATGCTAACAAACGTCCTACTGTTATAACACTTTGAAACAGATACATAGGGATAGTTTGATCGGGGGATATTGAAGGCCTCGAGGAGGTGAGTGATGACCATCCCGTAGGGGAGACTCGAAGGATCTTCAACACATTCAATCATGAAATTTATTACCTAGGAGGACAGTTTCACTTTATTCTTGGTGAGAATACAGTAGACCAAAAAGGTGTCCCTTTGAGATAATATGGTGTAGGAACCTGTTCAGGGAAGAATGGTGGTGGAAATAATGTGGGCTAGAATACGGGTTTCAAAATTAATATCACTGGGTCCTAATTGATTTGGCAAAGGATCAGACAGGGAATCATCAAGACATTGTCTGGCTAGTTCAAATGACACTTCAAAATCATCAAGCCAGGAGTTTTTAAACAGAGCAGAGTAACCAAAACTTTTACACTTAAACAAAGAATCAAAAGTAGAACGGTCTAGAATGATATGATGACCTAGCACAAGGGACTCAATCTTATTAGATTTCTGGGAACGAAGATTTGCATAGAACATACGAACCATATCTTCATAGACTTTTGGATGGGTTAGGGCAAAGAAATTTTCCCATCCTTGAAAAGTGAAGTAATCTTTTACATTGAAGTTTAGGGCTTCTATCTCTTCTAGATTGATGATTCTTCCATGAGCAATTGATTTTCCTTTGAAGGAGATAAGCTTATCTTTGTTGCGAGAATCCCAGTAACAGTTCTGACTCCAGCGCACTGTCCATGTATATCTTCATCTTCTTTGGAGTGAACGCTTCTACTCCTTTTTCAACGTGTTGCTTTCCCAGAACCTTTTTTGTTTGAGCATCATCAGAGAGGTTTTCTTGAGAAAAAGAGAAATCCTTAGAGTGGTCAGAGCTAATAGTGATGGGTTCTGATGGTTGAGAAGGAGGTTTCCCTTTGGACCATGTGCTTTTACGAGTGGAAGCAGAGGGATTGTTCGAAGCTTTAGCCATTAGAGAGATTAAGTGAAGGTTGCACAGAGAAGACTCAAAGAAGAGGCAGACTAATAGAGATGGAAAGAGGAGTAAAGAGACGTGACTGAGTCGACGTGACTGATGGGGCCGAGAAAGGCAACATACACGACTAATTGATTCAGTTTCCATCTCGATAAACCAAAAAGGCGGAAAAAAGTGCTAAAAATGGAGGCACTTAATTAATGTTGCAGGCAGTAATAATGAAGTACACAGTACAAAAGAGTTTTTACCAAAATTATTAAAATGCGCAATCTTTGGAAAGTACCAAAATTTCAATGTCTTAATTTGAAAAAGTAATACTGCCAAGTAAATCCCTAAGGGTTTGAAACCTGTCTTCTAGAAGCAACTTAGTAAAAATACCAGCTAACTGATTTTCAGTGCTAACAAAAGATAATTTAAGGTCACCCTTAAGAACATGTTCTCTAATGAAATGATGCTTGATATCTATATACTTTGCTCTAACATGATATATTGTTTTTTTGAAAGACTGATGGCACTAGAATTATCACAGAAAATTTTAACAGGCTTAAAAGATAGATCATAGTCACTTAGTTGATGAGTCATCCAAAGTAGTTGACCACATCATTGTCCAATGGCAATGTATTTAGCTTCATTTGTAGATAATGCAACTGATCCATGTTTCTTAATGTTCCAGGAAATAAGCAATTTTTTAAGTAGTTGACAAGTTCCACTTGTGCTTTTCTTGTCATCTTTATCTCCTGAAAGATTTGCGTTTGAAAACCTTTAAGCTTAAAATTATTAAGACGTGGATACCATAATCCATGTGATGTAGTTCCAATAAGATATCTAATAATTTGTTTCACAATTGTTAAATATGACTCCTTGGGAGTTGCTTGGAACCTAGTACATCTGCATACACTAAAGACTATGTCAGGACGATTAGAAGTTAAATAAAATAGAGATCCAATCATTCCACGATATTTTGATTCATCCACTGGTTTTCCTTCCTCATTTTTGTCACGAGATGTAGCTGGACTCATGGGAGTCCCAAGTGCCTTGGCATTGCTCATTTCGAATTTTGTATCAGCTCCTTCGTTTGCTTTGTCTGACATATAAAGATTCCTTCATCTGATTGATGAATTTGAAGTCCAAGGAAGAAAGTAAATTCTCCCATAATGCTCATTTCAAACTCACTTTGCATGAGATGTGATAATTCCTTGCATAGAACAAGATTTTCACTTTGGAATATAATATCATCAACATAGATTTGAATAATGAGATTTCCTGAAGATGACCTTTTGATGAAGAGGGTAGTATCAATCTTACCTCTTAAGAATCCATGACTAACCAAAAATGAGCTTAGTCTTTCATACCAAGCTCTAGGTGCTTGTTTTAGCCCTCATAAAGCCTTAGTCAACTTAACCACATGGGGAAACTGTGATTTTTCAAAACCAGGAGGTTGTTTAACAAAAACCACATCATTAATGAAGCCATTAAAAATGCACTTTTAGCATCCATTTGAAATAATTTAAAACCTTTAAAAGAAGCATATGCTAGTAAAATACGAATTGATTCTAACCGTGATACTGGAGTAAATGTTTCATCATAGTCGACTCCTTCTTGTTGAGAGTAGCCCTGAGCGACTAGCCTTGATTTTACGGATAACTTTACCTTCTTCAATCAGTTTATTTCTAATACCCACTTGGTTCCTATGATTGATGCATTTGCTGGTTTGGTCACCAATATCCAAACTTGATTTTTGTCAAACTGATCAAGTTTTTCTTGCATAGCCTGTACCCAACTTGAGTCTTTCAGAGTTCCATCAACTTTCTTTGACTTTATTTTGGATATGAGTGAAATGTTAGCCTTTTTCCTTAGAGCTCCTCTTGTTTTCATTCCATCAGTTAGATTTCCAATGATAAACTTCTAAGGATATTCTGGTTCGCTTCTACCTTCGTTTGGTAATACTTCAGTACATTGAGTAGCCGACTCATTCTAAGGTTGATCATGCTCACTGATGTCTTCATTAGTCGACTATGGGATTTCAGTTGCACTGTTAGCAGATTCTTTTGAAATCATTTGTTCACTGATCTTTGGTTGATTTTGACTGATCACTTCATCACCTGCAAGATCTCCTTTCTCGGTCATAAAGTTATTATCATAAAAAATAACACGAAGTGATTCTACTACACATAAATTACGCTTATTATAGATTCTAAAAGATCTACTATTATTCGAGTAATTGAGAAATATACCTTCATCATTTCCTTTTGTCTTCTTTTTATTATCTTGAGGCGAGGGTCTTTCGGAAAAAGCCTCTCTACCCCTTCGGGGTAGGGGTAAGGTCTGCGTACACACTATCCTCCCCAGACCCCACTCGTGGGATTTTATTGGGTTGTTGTTCATTTCTTGGGTCAAACTTACCAAGATTATCCTCACCGTTATTCTGGACAAAGCATTTGCATCCGAAGGGATGAAAGTATCCAATGTTGGGTTTCTTTCCTTTTCATAGTTCATATGGAGTCTTCTTTAAAATAGGTCAGATTAAGCACCTGTTGAGAATGTGACATGTTGTACTGACTGCTTCTGCCCAGAAGTGATTTGGTAGGGTATGTTCTAGTATCATGGTTCTTGCCATATCCTGCAGAGTTCTGTTTTTACGTTCAACCACTCCATTTTGTTGTGGTGACCTTGGTGCTAAGAAATTATAAGTGTATCCTTGATCATTATAGAATTCCTCAAATGCTTTACTTTCAAATTCTCCTCCATGATCACTCTGAATAGTTGGAATAAGGTACCCCTTTTCTCTTTCTAGCTTTTTGCAAAAAATCTCAAAGTTCTTTAGAGCTTCATCTTTGTGGGCCAGAAATACCCATGTAAAACGCGAGTAGTCATCCACAATAACAAAAGCATACCTTTTCCTCCTATACTAGCATTTCTAGTTGGTCCAAACAAGTCCATATGCAGTAGTTGAAGTGGTTTGCTAGTGGAAACAATATCCTTAGGTTTGAAAGAGTTTTTAGTTTGCTTACCAAAGCTGACATGCATCACATACATAGTTTCAAGAGTAGTTAAGCTTAGGAAGCCCAATGACCAAATCATATTTCGAGAGTTGTTCAATCAAATGTATGATGGCATGACCAAGCTTTTTGTGCCAAAGCCAGGGATCATCAGTGATGGATCCAAGACAGATATGAATTTCCAAATTATCACTGCAATCTAAAATGTAGATATTTCCATGCCTCTTTCCTGGAAGAATGATTTTACCCGATTCATCTTCAATAGCACAACTAGTTTCTTGAATTTCACTTCATATCCAGAATCACATAGTTGGCTAATGCTTAGTAGATTATAGTTTAGTCCATCCACAAGATAAACTTTAGTGATGTCACAATTGTCATTAAATGGAACATTTTCGGTACCAAAAATGTTGTTTGAATCATCACCATACTTAATGTTTCCTTCATTGATTTTGGTAACTTCCTTGAAGAGATTGTCACCCTTCATGTTACTAGAACATGTACTATCATGATATCATTTTCCTTTTTGACTTTTCCTGTGTTGTTCCAGCAAAGAAAGATTATTACCTTCTTTTAGGTACCCAAGCTTGCTTGGATTCTTGTTGGTTAGTTCTACCAGGATCAGTGCTATTTTTTGGTTTTCAAATTTATCTTGCAATATTTGATTTACGAAATCTACAAAAGGAATATTTGCGTCCAGCCCTATTACAGTAATGATATACAGGAGTTGATCCAGTTTTTGACCTTCCACTGGTGTTAGTACTTGTGGACTCTGTTCTGGCATGTACTTTTCCAGTTAACTTATAAGTCGCTTGGTTAGACTTGACAGAACTGTGACTGGTGGACTTGCGCATGCCATTAAGTTGTATATGCAATTTATGAACCTCATCTTGAAGTACCTCTCTTTCGATTTCACACACTTCAAGTTTGTTCCCAGTTCTTCTTTTCCCTATTGAGCCTCTTTAATTTATTTAGCAATTTTTGAGACTCTTTAGGGTAATATCAAGAATATCTTGCAAATCGTTACACCTATCATAGTTATAAGGTCTTACCTCACTTGTTTCACCTCGTGCTATGAAGCAATTTATAGTGTCTTCTTTATAGTCGTCATCTGATGTATCTTCATCAGTCCGGTATCCAAAGTATTCGTTCATATCATTTTCCAAAATCGTCATGAAACATAGATTTGCTATTTCTTCATATTCTGAACTGTCTTCATCGCTCCAGCTTCCGACAGATTTGTTTTGGTGGAATTCTCTAGAGACTTTCCTTTTAAGATCTGGGCATTCAGCTTGATCATGACCATACCTTCCACATTCAAAGCATTTTCCGTCATTTTTTTCTTGTTCATTGTATTATTTGGTTCGTCTCGATGACATCCTTCCCTTCTTTGTGTTTATGTATTCTCTCATCATTCCATTCATGTTTCTTAACACCATGGAAATTTCTTCTTCAAGTGCTTCTGAATCATCATCAGCATCATTTTCAGGACCTTCAGTTGTAGTTTTGAAAGCAACTGTTTTCTTCTTTTCTTCCTAACGAGTTTTGTTGAGACGGGTTTTCTCAAATGCTATAAGATCTCCTCATAGTTCATCATATGAATGTTTGTCTAGATCTTGAGATTTGAGTGCAACTACTTTTGCCCTCCATGTAGCAGGCAAACTTCTCAAAAATTTCGAACTTTATCACCATTTGTGTAGGGTTTACCAAAGGCTTTCAGATCTCCAATGATTTTGCTGAATCTTCCAAACATCTCCTCAATGGATTCTCCTTCTTTCATCTGGAAGAGTTCAAAATCGTGAACCAACAGATTTATCCTAGTTTCTTTCACTTTGTTGGTTCCTTTAATAGGTAACTGATCGTCTCCAACCCTATACCGCTATAAATTGACAAAGAGTGGTCGATGCATCTTTTACCCGAAAGGTCGGGATCGATATCCACAAGGAGCTAAAATTGGTTGGGAGTTGGGTTTCTATCCAATGTAGCTATGCGTGTTGCTCTTAATTGCCCTTCTAACCATGTTTGGATTTGTTTCTATTCAATGCTACTGATTGCTGAAAGTAATCTAATTACAATGTTTTTGAAGGATTTTTCTCAATTGATAAAAAGCACTAGGGAAGTGACTTACACCTAGGCGAGTACCTAATGGGGTCTAGAATTTAGGCTAAACTTGTTATATTTGGGATCATGATATAACCTTTGCACATAATTACTCACTCTATACCTCGCGGTAGTTTGAGTGACTTTACCCTAATTGGCCTTTTCAAGCCCAATTGGGTGTTCAAACAATGCAAGCAAAATTGGCTCAAGTCGGGTATTACTATCTCTAGGTTTAACCCTTTAATTGGGGCTATCAATCTCTTGAATGCACCCCAATTCCTTGTTAGCCTAAATTACCTAGACTTAGTCCCTCTTTCTTAAGAAGAGTCTAAGTCATAAAGGCACGAATCAGTGTTTGCAACCACCAATTCTACAATTAAAGCATGAATCAAGCTAAATATCATTAACCCATAAATAATTAAGCCCTAAAATTGAAGACCCATTAAATACCCACACTAGGGTTGGGTCATAACCCTAGCTAATAGTTTTAGCTACTCATAATCAAGGTAGAAATCAAAGATGGAGATGAAATATAAGCCATAAAAGTTAATTACAAGAATAAAATCTAAGATTAATAGCTAAAGCTGCTCTAAAATTACTCTAAGTAGTAAAATACGGCTGTTCACGAGCTCCTCAGACAAAAGATAACCTAAAAATGTGAAAAAGAACTATTTATACACAACTGAAATTACTGGACAAAAATACACCTACGGAGGTTCCGTTGTCAGCAAAATAATGAGCGCCTCAGCGTAAAGACTTCCTCGGCCGCGCAAAACAAGCGCGGATCGTGTTTCTTCACTTTTTTTCTTGGTTTGGACTTGATTTCGCGGACAACGTAGAAGTTGCCGCCTTAGCGTTAGCCTCAATCGCGGCCGCACAATTTGAACGCGGACCGCGCTCCTCAATTAGGCTCACTTTGCAGGGTCTCTGAACCTTGATCGCCGCTCTCAGCGGAAATACCACCGCGGCCGCGTAAGGTATTCCGCGGCCGC